GAAGAAACTATCATACAAATGCTGACCTCATAAAGGCACATCAACAGTGTTTTGTGGGTCTGCGACCAATCATATTTGTGTAGTATATTAGCTCTTATCATCATTATATATATAATAGATGATGGGTCTCTTTCGTGCTAAAGTTATATATCATAAAGAAGATAGAAATATATGTAATAGTTTCTTGGGAGGATATATCCGATAAAAGTAGACAGAAAAAGATTTTAAATATCTTATTCTTTATTCACCAGGGTTCATCAAAATTTTCCGTTAAGGAGAAGTTTATACCAAATAAAAATCTAATAGTTCTAGTAAAATTTGATGGTTTTGTTGTTGTTTGAGAATGTTTTTATCGAAATCGGTCCTTTGTTTATGGATATAAAGCGGCCTAAATCAAGGACATTTGAAGTGTTGAGCCACACTGAGTTATTTTGTCCGAGTTAGTTGTTGAAAGTTGACGAGCACTTGTGTTCGATGAGTGTCCTTAATTCTTCCACCGTTTTCTTTAGATTAAAAAGGTTGATTTTTGTTCTAGTATATGTAAGAAATATTTTTCCTATAATATGGTTTTATATTCATCCATTTTCTATCGGAATAATACTATTATTAAATGTAATTGGTGTCCAAATATATTGGAAATAAAGAAGTAATTCCTAAATATTTTTACTTTGATGGATGGTTGAGATTAAATCTATGAAAACTCTAATGAGAAATTATGTCTTCTTTCCACCTATAAATACTTTCCATCATATAGGGAAGACATAAAAAAAAACAACACATAAAAATTTTAGACAAGAGGAGAGAAATCTAATCATCTAGCTTAAGCATTTCATCTTCCATTTAAGAGTTCATCCAAAGAGAATCATTTTATCTTTGCAACTATGAATGTAGATAATTCTATAAACCTTCTTATGAATCTATTATGTGATCATTTAATTGTTTAAAAATCTTGGGGTTCATGTAAATTTTCACTTACAGTATATACGTATATATATTGTTAATTATCCTAAAATGATCTAACGAAGAAATGATGTTTGATCAAATATTCAACTAGCTTTAGAACAAGTAAGAACGCAAATATGCCGATTCAATGAATTTTTATTTTTGTTTTATATTTATAACTAGAAATCCTGCTCACTGACTACAATTTAATACTGTAGTATACTATATGGTTTCTAGTTCTTCTAACAACATTACAAATCCAGCACTTGACAATCCAAAACGTTAAAAAAATAGAAAGAGCCACGCAGTAGTAACCTTTGGTCAACACATTGAATAGATCGACTCCTTCCATTTCTGTTATTTTTTTTATATATAATGAGATTATTTTAATGGGCGCGCGATTTAGTGGCATATTGAATGATGTCATCATACTAAATTAAATACATGCTTGATGAGTTTACGCGACGGGATAATGAAAATTCTTAGGACCATTGTTGCTTTGAGTAGATGTATGAGTATATGACAATCTTGTACTTACAAATCTAGGGTAAATCTATTATACACCAAAATCAAGGTCACTCTTCTTTATATATATATATTTTTTTTTATTTACAGTCAAAATGTAAGAACAAAGTATCAAATTCCAAAACTCACAAAGTATTATAGTTTGACCCGTGTCCTTGGAGGTGAATAGCGTTTTAAACGATTAGCCCCAACTTATTTCGGTTTAGAATTTGACGTAAGTTTAATATTAATGTATAACTATTGATATCATCCAACTAATTAGGTTGACAAATTATTCTGAATAGGTTTTGGATTTGAATTGGTACATGTTTGAGATAATGAATCTTGTAAGAAGAAAATTTGATCTATGGACTATGGTTTTCTGTACTTCTTTGATATATATATATAGACCAATACCACCACATCGGGGCATGAGTACGTACGTATTCTTTCATTTTTTTGTATAATTACATTTATACCTAGAATACGTATGTATGACTAGGAGTAGTGGAAGTACATAAAAACCATTCTTTCTATATATCGTAAAAAAAAATATAAATTATTAGAGTTTTAGGGTATCCAACAACCAATCCAAATTAATTATATTTAAATTTACATAACTATTAAATTCAAATTCAATCCAGATATGACGTTTTTCAGCTGGAATGGATTGACCGCTTCTGCACTGCATTTTTAGTGAGCAACACAATATTGTAGAGTAGAATTTGAAATAAAAGTTTATCGATCTACTAATTGTCTAAGATGGAAAGTAAAGTAGGCTTAAATTGAAAATGTTAAGAAGTTATCGCATTGATGGAGGTTTTGGTTAGAATTCAAATTTAAAAGACAACATTACTCAATATTCAAGACACTCGGATAAGAAGTTTTTTCGCATTGATGAAAGTTAGATTTAAAATTCAAATTCTTAAGACATCACTCAAATTCCAACACTAACCAGACAAAAAAAAAATTAGATAGCTGTTGAAATTAAGGATATCAATGGAGAAAAAAAAAAGAAGGGAAAAGCCAGCTAGGGTTTGGTCCATGCATGAGCAGTGAAAAGAGTAAGTCGAAGGACCACGGTATTTTATGGACTTTGCTATGGTAGGAGTTAATTAGGACATACCTCGACTTAACAACTCAAGACAGATATATTCTGTACTTTGCTCTTTGTAATTTGAGCCTTCCCTTATTTGTGATTGTTCTCGAACCAAGCAACCTGCCTAATTTAAGAATTATTCAAGTTGATTTGTACGACATTTATGTAAACGATTTTGTTTTGAACTTTTTGCATACGAGCTTTTAGATCGGGTTTGATGTTTCATTTGCATTAAATATGTCTTACAAGTAACAAATAAGTGGTTTTGGTCCAATTTTCATCATGTAGTCGACATGAATGATCAATACCTTTTTAACGTTATTTTTATAGCATAGATTTTTGTATGCATGTTGTTTGCAAATAACAAGATTCGTCTCATCTTGATAAAGTTAGTTATGTTACTAGCAAAATTTGGTTATGAAAAATAAGAAGGTTAAATGTAACATTAGCTATAAAAATTAACCAACATCTCAACAACATTTCATCGAAAATCCGTTAAAATTTTCGATGGACTTATGTCTAATGGAAATTCCATCAGAATTAATTTTTGTTTTCTTTTAGTGGAACAAAGCTCACTTCTTTCATTTCATGATGAGACTTTGATTCGCTATCTAAGTTTGTCTAAACTTCTTTTAATATGATTAATTATAACTCTTAAGTTCTAGCTAATTAGGTTTAGCAATTCCTCACAACTATGTTCCTCTATAGCAAAATTGTTTTGGGTAATATATTTTTAAATTGAGCCAAAAATTAAGAAGTTGGAGCACTATTTCTCATCTCCATTTGAACCCACAGGACTATTCAATATCATTCATGATCTATTGAATATTGTTATCCTAATTAACTATAGATGATATGCACATGACTCGTCGTCAATGACGATTGAAATATAGTCATCAATGGTTAATTCCACCTGTAAAGCGAGAAAATGTAATTACTCTAATAAACAGACAACTGGTCGATAAAGAAAACGAGAAGAACAAAAGAAGATTTCATCTGACAATTATGATATTGGAACATTCTGTACGAGATATACTCTTAAACCCATCTAATCTCTTGATTTAAATTGTTGACATTGTCGAGCACAAAAAAAATACCTTCGTTGTAAATTTAAACAAACATTCTTTATGAGCATGTTTTTTTTTGTTGTTATTTAGAAAAGAAAAAGAATTCTCATATGATTTTTAAAAAATTAAAAAGGAAAAAAAGAGAGAGAAGTGGTCACATCTCTTATGGGCTGGACATTGGTCCTTTTCATTAAAACCCATTTTGGGGCCTTTATGAATTTAATGAGAGCAAAAAAAAAAGAGTAAATGCAGCCTGCGGAGAGGACCACCACTGTCACCGTGTGGGCACGATCTAGCTGGCCTATAAAGCTCTCCTCCCTCAATCTCAACATTATCGCAACAACTGTCTTTCTTTGATCATTTGTGGGTCCGACTTGATTATTTGTGGGCCAACATAAATTTTCACAGTACGAAAATATCAGAAAAGAAAGAAAAAAGCAAAAAGAAAAAAAAAGCAAAAAGAAAAAAAAGTCAATGTTTGTACTTTGGTTGGTTAATTTCAGCCTGTGACTTGTGGGGATAACATTTGAGATTCTTTTGCATAGTTTTTAAAAACTGATATCCAATGATTTATAAGAAATGATCTGAGCCATACAACTTATATATTTCTGGTTTAAGAGTATATAAGTCAGAGCCTTGTTCAATTTGAATCAGATTTGAATCATCTTTCTTTACAAGAAATGATATAGCAAAACGGCCCAGAGTTAAAATATAAGCTTATATATTAATGTCAGGCCCAACTAAAGCCCAACTGAAACCATCTGAATTCTTGTGTTGTTGATCTTGGCAACTAACCGGAAAAACGGTTCCTGATTGTTTGGCGCTAAGATTTGCAAACACACACACAGCCATGGCCGAATTATTTCGGGAAAATACAGATTTGAAAACAGATTACTTTTTGCTAGAATTTCTGTTGTATTTGAAAAGCAGTTTATGTTATGTTTTAATTTTTTTTTCAGTTTGTAATAGAGGTTCATAGATTTTATTTTATGTTGCTAAAGAAAAATACTGACAAGGTTGCGTTCTGTTTTATATTACAGGGCGATTCCTATAAAACACGTAAGACGTAACAATATGGAGAGCTACAACTTTTTCAAAACATAGGCCTGATTGGTAGATAAGATTTTTAAAAAAATATTTTTTTCGTTGATTTATTTCAAGACGATCTTTTCCTACTAAACTTTTGTTTTATATATTTTTTTGGATAATATGTATAAGAGATATATACGGATACAGATGAGATTACTAGATAGATTCACTAACGATCGAGAATCTCTACAGAATCCAAATCTTTTTAACACCTTCAAGTCTTTAACCCTATAAAAGATTCACCTCACCTTCCAAAACCCTCCTTAAAATTAAAAAAAAAAACTCTCCGATCATTTTCAATGGCCGAGCACTCGACCAGTAGAGCCATGGAAATAGAAGAAGTCGTCGATGATGAGTTAGACCGGTGTGCGGTGGACGAGGTTGAGCTAACCGTTCCAAAAACCGACGATCCAACGTTACCGGTTCTCACTTTTCGAATGTGGGTTTTAGGTCTTAGCGCGTGTATCATACTCTCGTTCGTGAACCAGTTTTTCTGGTATAGGCAAATGCCGTTGATGATAACCGGAATCTCGGCTCAGATCGCGGTCTTGCCGCTCGGTCACCTGATGGCTAGAGTGCTTCCAAATAGGAAGTACTTGGAAGGGTCAAGGTGGGAGTTTAACATGAATCCTGGTCCCTTTAATGTCAAGGAACATGTTATGATCACGATTTTCGCTAACTCTGGAGCAGGAACGGTTTATGCGACTCATATACTTAGTGCTATTAAGCTTTATTATAAGAGAACTCTTCCATTTCTGCCGGCTTTTCTCCTCATGATCACTACTCAGGTATAATGGTTCTTATGTGCCCTAGTTTAAGCATGCAATCCTTTTTTCCGATTTGAAACCAATTTTTACTTCCTCTTTTTGTTTTTCTGTTGTTAAGAAATTTACATAATAGTATAATTTGGTAAATAGATAGATCGATAGAGAATTACTTTTAACCATAACTAAACTTAGAAACTTCATTTCTTTGAAGTTTTGTGAAAACTGATGATCACCTTATGTCCCCATGTAAAGGATATTGTTGGCGTTGGTTTGATATTTGTGGTGATTGGTTAGACTAAATCCCTTATTACTTATATGAGTATAAGGTTTTGTATTAAATTTTAAAAAGGTTTGGTGAATTTTGCCTTACTTTTTTGACATGTGAAATCTCTTTTGTAGTTTCTCGGATTTGGGTGGGCTGGTCTATTCCGTAAACACCTTGTTGATCCTGGTGAGATGTGGTGGCCAGGAAATCTAGTTCAAGTGTCTCTCTTCAGGTAAATACTCTTTTATCATATGTTTATAGAAATATCATCTTTAGGATTTTTCTTCAACCTACTTAATTAACTAGTTGATTAACCAACCATTGCAGTGCCTTGCACGAGAAGGAAAAGAAGAAAAAAGGAGGCATGACCCGAATCCAGTTCTTCCTCATAGTCCTTGTGACCAGCTTCGCATACTACATTCTCCCCGGTTATCTATTCACAATGATCACTTCCATCTCATGGGTTTGCTGGCTTAGTCCAAAATCGGTTTTGGTTAACCAACTCGGTTCAGGTGAACGAGGTCTTGGCATTGGCGCAATTGGTATTGACTGGGCTACAATTGGCTCTTACCTCGGTAGTCCACTCGCTAGTCCGATCTTCGCTACCATCAATGTAGCCATCGGCTTTGTGGGGGTCATGTATGTGGCCATTCCGGTTTGCTACTGGCTTAATCTTTATAATGCCAAAACATTTCCCATCTTCTCAAGTTCGCTTTTCAGAGGCAATGGCTCTTCCTATGATGTTTTGAGCATCATTGATAACAAGTTCCATCTCGATAGAGAAGTCTATGCTAAGACTGGTCCTATCCATATGAGCACTTTCTTTGCGCTTACATATGGTCTTGGGTTTGCTACTTTATCCGCCACTATGGTCCATGTTTTACTCTTTAACGGAAGGTAAGTTATCTCTACCAATACATCACGATTACATTTCCCCTTCTATGTTCTTTAGTAAACATTATAGTCTTCATAGATCCAAGCACTAGTCTTTGGTAATAGCATTCGCTTTTGTATTCTAGTGATCTATGGAAGCAAACCAAAGGAGCATTCAATCGGAACAAGAAAATGGATATACACACAAGGATCATGAAGAAAAACTACAGAGAAGTTCCCATGTGGTGGTTTCTTGTGATCCTCGTACTCAACATTGCGCTCATCATGTTCATCTCTGTGTACTACAATGCAACCGTGCAGCTACCTTGGTGGGGAGTGTTGCTAGCTTGTGCCATTGCCATCGCCTTCACTCCTCTTATCGGTGTTATCGTCGCCACCACTAATCAGGTATTATATCAAGATATATTCTTTTTTAACATAATCTATTCACTTAACATGTAGAGATTTAGGTTTTTCTGTTTGTTTTTTCCAAGTAACAATTTTATCTTAACAAGTCTCTTATTAATGCTTTAGGCACCGGGTTTGAACGTCATCACGGAGTATGTAATCGGATATATCTATCCAGAACGTCCGGTTGCGAACATGTGCTTCAAGGTGTATGGATACATCAGCATGACTCAAGCTCTAACATTCATCCAAGACTTCAAACTCGGTCTCTACATGAAGATTCCTCCTAGAAGCATGTTCATGGCACAGGTCACTAATCACCCCTAAAAGCGTTCATTAGTTCTTTGTTACCATGACGTAATTAATTGACTAACACAATTGTTTTTCAGGTTCTTGGGACACTTGTGGCTGTGATAGTCTACACAGGAACTGCATGGTGGTTAATGGTAGACATACCTCATTTATGTGACACATCTTTGCTCCCTCCAAACAGCGAATGGACATGTCCGATGGATCGTGTCTTCTTCGATGCTTCTGTGATTTGGGGACTTGTCGGACCACGTAGAATGTTCGGTGACTTAGGAGAATACTCAGCCATAAACTGGTTCTTCCTCGTAGGTGCAATCGCTCCTTTCTTGATCTGGCTAGCAACCAAAGCGTTTCCAGCTAAAAAATGGATCTCGAAGATACATTTTCCGGTTATTTTAGGAGCAACCGCGATGATGCCACCCGCGATGGCTGTGAATTTCACGAGTTGGATCATCGTGGCGTTTATTTTCGGACACTTCTTGTTCAAATACAAGAGAGAATGGTGGAAAAAGTATAACTACGTTTTGTCGGGCGGTTTAGACGCCGGAACCGCGTTTATGACTATACTGATTTTCCTGGCGATAGGACGCAATGGCATTGGATTGACGTGGTTGGGAAACGCTGGTGATAGCGGAGTTTGCGCATTAGCGTCTTGTCCTACCGCTAAAGGCGTTGTAAAGCATGGATGTCCCGTTTTCTGACCTTGTCACTCCTTTAATTTGCTGTTTATTCTTCTCTCTTAGTTTTTTTTTTTCATTTTTTTTTTATCATGCCGTTGTGAAGTTAGTTTGGTTTATCTTTTCTTTTGTACAGAACTCTACAACAGCTTTAGTAATATTAATATTCTTTTAAATTCGGTTTATTAGTTGTGGGTTATTAAAATATGGTGTTAGGCCTACGTACTTAGTATAGAAGCATCTAGAAGATCCATAATATTATTAGTAAATATTGTATAGTTCTTATTCAGATATTATAGAGATTTGTATCTATTTAGTTTAGGAAATATCTTTAGTATAAATATGTATGTAGTTCTAACAGCTATTCTCATGAGAGTAATATACAATTCTTCCCAAACACTCAATGTGTTCTTCTCTTATCACTCTAATATGGTATCAGAACAGGTTTGCTCTAAAGTTTTGATCTAGCGATCAAACTTCTTTTTCATTTTTTTTTTCTTTTCTAAGCCAAGTACTTCTAAAATTAAAGTTCACCATGAACCTCTGAATCCAAGCCATCGAGCTTCTTATTCAAGCATAAGTACCTCTAAATCTAAGCATAGTGCTTCTCTAATTCAAGCCTAAGTGCCTCTGAATCTAAGCCATAGAGCTTCTTCTTATTCAAGTCTATCATGGACTTCTGAATCTAAGCCACATGCCTTTCATTTTTGAGCTTCTTAATTGTTTTCAAAACTACAATACTTTTCCAATCTTAATTGTTAAAAAAAAAATAATTATCTTTTAACTTCAACTTTCAAGCCATTGTGCTTCTTTTTCTTACTCTTTCAAGCCATTGGACTTCATGTTTTTTTAAGCTACGAGATTTTTGTGTTAGTTACTCTTTCAACCCAATGGACTTCTTAATCCAAAAAAAATAAAAATCAATCAGTCATCGACTTCTTTTTCTTTCCTCAAAGACAAGGTTCATCACACCTTTTGTGCTTCCACTGCACCGCCAAAACATTGGTCCAAGCCGAGCCTTTTAACTATGTCACCAACACGAGATCTATGATCTCCACCATGGCTCACTGCCTAAGTGCTTCCATCAAAAAGCCAAAGTGCTTCCTTGCAACGCATAGTTGAAGCGTCTCCTTCAATAGTCTTCCACCGCATCCACCGTTTAATTCCCATGGTGTCTTTGACATCACCACATCAGATTTGTATCCTCTACGTCGTCACCATATGCCATTGTCCAACTGACAAAAACAACAACAACCGTTTCCCTTACTATCAGCCTAGGTGACTCTCTCCCGCAAGGTCCTCTCACCGCCACGTCTGTCACTTTATCATCTTTTCATGGCTCCAAATGTTCTATTGTTCCTTACATATTTTTCATCTACCGTCAAAGTCAAGCCCATAAAGAGTCCAAAGCAAGTTGATCTCAAGACTCCTCACCTTAATTCTATCAATTCATGGTCAACCTCAAGCCGCTAATTCCGCATTTCTCCATTCCCCCTTGAGTTTGAGGGGGCGTATAGAAGGATCTAGAAGATCCATAATATTATTAGTAAATATTGTATAGTTCTTATTCAGATATTATAGAGATTTGTATCTATTTAGTTTAGGAAATATCTTTAGTATAAATATGTATGTAGAGTGATAAAGGCAACATCAAAACCAGATTTTTATTTTTATTTTTAATTTTAACGTCTGAGTATTTTATTGAGGATAAATGCAACATCAAAACCAGTACAAAAGCCAAAGGCTAAAACAAAGCATCAAACACCTAAGAGAAGGGTTTAAAGATGCCCAAATAAAACCGACTAATGCAATAGATTAGGCAGCCATGCTGGTCCACCCCTGGCAAGGTACGACTGAAACCGGCCATCTCGAGTAACACTTTTCGCGATCTCACGTACAGCTCTGTTAGCTCCCACAGTCTCCTGTTCGATTGAACAGAAACTAAAACCATTGCAAAGCTGAGCAATATGATTAGTCATAACTCAATATTTCGGCTAAAAGAGAGGTTTCGAAATTGCCTCCACCACCATAAAAATTATCTGAAACTATCATGATCTCGTTAGCGTGATTTGGGCATCTTTAAACCCTTCCTTTAGGTGTTTGATGCTTTGTTTTAGCCATTGGCTTTTGTACTGGTTTTGATGTTGCCTTTATCCTCAAAGAGGTTTTTGTTAGTCAATTAAAAAATATATTAAATATATATCTAGCACCATATTTAGGCACGTTCATATGACGTATTGAATATTAGATTTTATATTTTCTTGAATTTTAACATAGTAGAAGCATAAGTTTACGAAAACAGAATTTATCAAACTCGAAAGTATAGTGAGTTCGTAAGTTTGAAAAAAATTGTGAAGGAAAACGTGAGTTTTTTTTTTTGTTATTTCTGAAAGACAAAAATGTAAACGTAATCGCAGAATGATTTCGTCTGAATAACAAACACAAAAATGTATATTCTGTAACGAAAAAATTGAATGAAAAGAAGAGAAAATAATGGAAACATATTACATATGGAATTTATATTCCTTGGTAATGATTAATGAATATATATTGGGATGGCAAATAAAAAAAAAGGTGGGCAAACGAAAGAGATTTGATTTCAGATTAACTCGTTTACCGAAGACAAGAGGGCATCATGTGACGACACCACCATATATGTTGTAGAATAGTTACTGGTTTTTAACTTTTTGATTATCAACAAAATATTTTGTTTTGATGTTAAAAGTTGAAACATTTGTATTGAGTAGTCACTGTTTAATTAATTAGAGAGTTTTACTTGGCAATTTACAAGTTGATGGGATTTAGGAGAGGACAATGACGGTGCAATAAAGGACAAAGGATTTTGAATGCAAATGACGTGGGAAAGAAAGGTTTGCCGACTAATATAAGAGAGTAAAATTAGAAGTTTTTTTTTTCATTTTCAGGTAAAAGAGAGTTAAGAGGCAGTGTGTTTCTACGGTTTGTATAACCAAGATCTTCTTCTAGTCAATATCTGATGCAATCTTGATTAGACTTGACATTTTTTTGGGTTGGAACAAAAACTCGTTACTATTTGTTTGTGTAACCAGATATTCGAAATATACAGTTTAAATCTACGATTAAATTAAACAAGTTCAACCAAATATTTGAAAAAATCAAAGATGCAATAATGAAAGGTACATTAGTGGTAAGAAAAACATATATTTGGCTTATTGGATAGGTCTTGATCATAGCGGTTTCAAAACAAGTAGATTTATGCTCATAGAGCTTTATTGAAATAGAAAACAAAGATTTGAAATAGAAATAGCTGGTAAGACCTTTATTCAAATGCATAAGAAATGAACAAGATTGTCACCCAGAACTAATATAAGAGAGAAAAATTTGGATTTTTTTTTTTCACGTAAACCAGAGTTAAGAGGCAGTGTGTTTCTACGGTTTGTGACTGTGTAACCAAGATCTTTTTCTAGTTAATATCCAATGCAATCTTGGTTGGGATTTAAACATTTTTTTAGCGATTTTTTTGTAGGTATTTGCCCCCGATCCAATCGGAGGATCGAATTGATTATAAAAACATGAGTTTAATTAGTTGATTTATTATTAAAAAAGACAAAATATTATCTAGACAGATGAATATAGTTACTTTAAATTAACAACGATTAATTACTGTTGCTATAAAACAAGTTCGTATTTTATCTTTGTTATATTTTCTTAATAATCAGAAACAATTTGAAAGAAGTGAGTCGACCCATAGAATTACTTGCCTTAGGACCAGAAAAAAAGAGCTCATTTAGCATATTTTTTCACAGTTGCGGGATTACTAGAACAAAAACTCGTAAACTATTTTTTTTAGTTACACTTTTTTTTCTTTCAATTAATTGAAATTCTACAATAAGTAAACTCACAAAACCTAAACTTTCTTAACGCATGCAAACCTTATGCAACTGAAGATTGTCAATTTATTTTCAAACCCAGATATCCGAAATATACAGTTCAAATCTAGATTAAATTAAACAAGTGATAGGTAGATAAACCAAATATTTGAAAAAAATCAAAGATGCATGCAATAATGAACGGTACATTAGTGGTAAGAAACTAAACAAAAGAAAAATGAGGACTTGAGTAGCATATATAGTTATGATATCGTCATATTCTTTCTTACATAACATCTCGAGAATCTTTCACAATGAAGAAAATGAAGCTATCTCCATAAAAATTCAAACATGATTTTTGGCTGAATCTTTTGCAAGAAGGTGTAGATTTTGAGCCTTCATCTCACACAGTTCTGCTTCCCTGTAACGTTGGATGGTCTCTTGGAGGCGTTCGTGGCAATCTTCCTCTTCCTTAGACTTGTTGGCCTCGTTTGTGGCAAGCTTCCTCTTCCTTAGACTTGTTGGCCTCCACCGCTCTTTCGAGGCTCTTCTTGGCTTTACTCTTGATGTTTGGTTAATGGTGTTTAAATCAAAGTTTGGTTAGTAAAACTTCTAATTTTGTGAAAATGAGCGATTGTTCATTTTGAAGTTTTTCGTTTGATTTTTTATTTTTTTTTTGTATAAAAATTAAGTCAACTGACATAAAACTAAAACATAAAAAAAACATGAATTTGTAAAAAAAAAAAGGAGAAAATTTGTCTACTCTTATTTTTTATATTTCAATGATGTTGATTATTACTGGTATTGTACGAAATTAGGGCAATGATATATTAAATTTTTTTGGGCTTTGTGTTGCAAAGCACAGATCTGGCTCGGACAAACATGTTCTTGGGAACTCTATTTGTTTTTTCTCCAAACCTACCAAGAACAAAATCAAGAAGCTGAAGGCAGATGCCAAAGATTCTTTCAGGGTTAAACAAGCAAAAACCTCCTTACTTTCTCAGACTAAGCGATTTCATAACTAAAACGAAATATTTCTACTCCATAAATTCAAACAAATAAGTTTCCTTAATTTTTTATTTTACAGTCAATGGTCATCTCATCTACAACAAATAAATGACTGATTTGGTTGTGTATCCGGCCGTAATTCCGAATCATATTTCCTTTTATGGAAATATCA